CTGGACGTAATTCTCCCTCCCGTGCTGCGGTGGCGCTACACGCTATGGGTCTAGATACGGCCGAGGCGGTGAGGAAGTGGGGCGAGTTTAGTCCGATGGCGGAGGGACATGAGGGCCAAAAAGAGCGGAGATCCAGGTGGAAAAAGGCTCCCAGCGTTCTCGCGCACCTCGCTCTTCTAGCGGGTCAAACTTCACGAGTTGTTTTCTGCAATTACGGTCATAAAAACAAAACAAGCTGGCCTCCTGTCTGCGGTCAGCTACAATTTAGGAGAGGAGCAGCGGAGCGTCTGTGGAGGGGCAGGGATGTCTGGAGCCGAGGTATTGAATTGGACTCATTGCACTATTATTGTATTATTAATACAATTATTGTATTATTATTTTTCAGTAAATGAGGTTTTCATAGGAATAGGTGGAGTAAAACTTTTCTACTTCTGTTATTTGCTGTTGTTTCTCAAAAAAAATGCATAACGATATTACAGCTTTCATTGACTTATTTCAAATTTGAAACATTGTCTAGCCTATAAGGTAGAAAAAAAAAATTAACCAATTAATGGATTCTAATCGAATCGCATCGTGATGTATTCTTGAGTATCGAAAACGTTGGGTCACTCAGGAAATCAATACTGAATCGAATCGCCATGATGGATGGGATTAACACCCCTAGTCAAAATGTATAAAAACATTTGTAATGCATTTGTTTCAGTAAAATCAATACTTTTTTTTTCTTCTGAAATTATTGTTTTGGTAAAAATGTTGTAGCTATGACTTTTATAAAAGTTCAACACATTTAAAAAATCAATATAAACCAATTTTCACTGTTTTTATTGGTGTTGCACCGATACGGATACCAGTATGGGGCGGGGCCTCGATCCAGCACTAAAATGGTATCGATATCAGCGTGTACCAACAAATGGAACACCGATACCATTTAAAGAACCAAAAGTTTATTCAACTATTGTCCCCCATTCCAGGTAGGCAACAAAAAGTCCTACTGGATTCACTTTGTTTTAGTCTTTTTTCCTGCTTCACAAAGGCAGGCAGCAGCTTGACAAAGCCATGATGGCAATTATTTTACATCCAAGTAGTATGCAGTTCTTCATATATACACACACATCAACTTTTCACAGATGGTATCGGTATGCGCCAATACTGCACAGCCAGGTATCGGTATCGGGGCCAAAAAAAACCGGCAACAGCGCAACATTATTTTTTATTAAGTGAAATCGAACTCCAATTTGATGATTTTGACCTTCATGGCAGAGAAGTTGAGACAACGCGGCCTTATGAAGCTCTATTTAAGTCATTTATTTACATGCAGTGGTACATTGGCATTTTTAATGATAAACATATAGTGAAAAAAAAAATAAATCTTATAAAAATCAAAAATAAAAACTGAATGTTCTTGTCATTAAATTTCAGAGACCTTTAACAACCCAGGTAGTTCAGCATCCGTCCACCTCTGCATATTAGCCGCCCCCCTCCCCTCTGCTACAGAATAATGGCAGGGTGCACAGTGCTTTTGGCTGTGCAGCCAGCCGTCCACCTCGTGGGATCTGATTACAACTCTTTGGCTCTCTGTGACCATCCAGCTACACGCAGGCCGTGGCCATGGCTCTCTGCTCATTAAATCTGTAATCCATCTGCTTGCACAATTCACTTCAACCGTCAGGCGCAGGCCATGGCGGTTAGCATCAACCACAAAGTGCTTACAGGATTTTCAACTGCAGCTTTAATGCACGACTCAAACACACGCAACTAAGTATGTTTCACAAACTGGCAGCAGAGAGAGATTATCAGGGGAGGGTATTGCTGCAGAAATGTGTTGTTTTCTATTATAGTTGGAGAAAAATAAAATTTAAATAGTTATGTTAAGAACCAGTGACTGGAATTGTACAGGTTTTTTTTAGCTCAGCTAATCCGAGCTGCAGACCGCATGCAAAAATCTCTCTCTGATAATAAATGCATCATATCGGATCACTATCAGAGCGTCTCAAAATGAACAGGATGACTTAGATGGAGCCATTTTAGTATAAATCACATGTTTGGCATGAAGTTTCATATTTTAGGAAGGAAACAAATTTCTGTCACCATTTTTTTTTTGCAAATTAAAGAGCAAGACTTCTGACCTCTGTCAGGATTTTTTAAACACTGTCAGCCTTTTGTAAATGTCAGAGTAAAGATAAAGATTCACAAGCTGCACTTTCTGCACTCGGTAATAAAATATGATGCTACAGACAGTTTAAAACGTCACTTCTAATTATACTGTCTTTGTGTTTTAATAAAATTATTAAAGGACAAGCCTTTAGATGGATGGATGTTTTACAATCAGTGTTCAAACTGTGACTTTGCTTTTAACATTTACATTTTTTTGAAAAGGAAACATTCTTTTTGTTCTTATCTTATTTGTTTCATACATTGAAAAATAAATGTAAGTTCTGGTTAAAAAAAAATACAATAAACATTGTTTAGGTCTTTAGAAAAAGAGGAATTAAGTTTCTTGTTTACAATAAAGTTAGGACAACCTTTTAATGACAGCTACAGTCTTCCTGTATTTCCTGTGCCTTTTTGTCAGATTCCTGTTTTCCACGCAAACATTGTCCTTATAAATATACCTTAATGATACAGCACGTTGTTTTCTGTCTCTTTGTGGTCACTTCTGCTTTCTATGAAGGTTAGAGCGCCATAATGATGCCCACACCTGTTTACATACACACACAGGTTACCAGCTTAAAGGTTTAACATCATTTTTGAAGTTTATATCAATAAACTTCATAATAATCCCTTTAATAAGATTATAAAAGGCCAGTTAACTTTCCTCTATAGCTGATTTTAATATTTAACCGCCAGACGATCTTCAAACCAAAAATTCACCAATGAAGTAGCTTAAAGCTGTAACTAAATTTACATAACTAGTTGTAGCCTGACTGCTACTTTTTCTAAATATATCGAAAAAAAAAAAACCTGTACATCACAGTCAAGAGCATAGAATTAGCTGATTCTCATTTTAAATAGAGTGTGCTCCCTTAAAGCTTGTTTATACGCAGAAACCAGGTCGTCTGTGTGTGTCGCAGTAAACGCAAATGTGCCCCCGCACCTTTCCGCAGATACTTTGGTGAACCTCTCCAAAATTTTAGGTGACCGCAGACAGTACAGCAGACAGGAGGCCTCTGGTTGGTCAAATCTACATCCGCTCTGCACTATGAGTATTTCCTGTTTAGTACCTTACTGGCTTGTTTTGTTTGTTTGACCACCATTGTGAAAAACAATCCGTGAAGATGGACCAGCTAGAAGAGCGAGGTGCGTGAGAACGCTGGGACCCTTTTTCCACCTGGATCCACGCTCTTTTTCGCCCTCATGTCCGTCCATTGTCGCACAAACTTGTCCCCACTTCCTCACCGCCTCGGCCGCATCTATATCCACAGCTAGTTTGTAATTGTCTCTCTTGCATTGTGGCGTGGAATAACAGACCACGCTTCACTATTGGTCATAAAGGGCGGATTATACTTCTGCAACCGCACACATCAAATGTTGCTTGGTTCTGGTCGTGAACCAGTTTTGCTGGTATGCTTCTGCATCGTCGGTCTGGAATTTCTAGGGACGCACAGCAGTTTCCCGCCAAAGCACAAGGGGGAGCCTATTCCAGAACTTGCGAGAACTTTGGTGGATGGTCACGAGAACCTCTGCTACGTCGCCTCCGGGAGTGTTTATTTTCCAAAACAACATGTCTGAGGCATTGTACAAGTGGTTGTACTTCCGAACCTCCTCGATCAACCTTTCATTGTGGTTATTACTCCTCGGTTTTTAAAAAGGGCGCGCCCCGGCACAGAATCGAGGACGACCAGACAGACCGTCGGCAAGGCATACCAAGGACCAATCACAGCTGATTTTTGTCTGCGCACTTCCACTTGAGGTCTGCGCGGGTTTGCGACCGTCCGACGTGTAATAGTAAGGAATTTTTTGAGGTGCGCGACGGTTCGCGGGAGGCGTGGTCGCGCACAGAGACAGATTTGATGATTGCAGAGACCATGCGTCAGAAGCATAAATCAGCCTTTAATCAAAAATGTCTGCAACAAGCTCACTGCCACACACTGCTGCAGGGAGTACAGCCAGCCCTTTAATCTATAGCTACTGTAAGTCAACAGAATTTAATAAACAATGTGGGTTTATTTTTCAGTAAAAGTAACCATTTTATGTTAGTTTTCTGAAAACATTTACTTTCTTTCAGCTAAACCATGACTCCTCCACCTCCGTGCTTAACAGATGGTATGAGGTTCTTTTCCTGGAATGCTTAATTTATTTTAAACCAAACACATCCATGTTCTGCTTTCCCTCT